ATAAGCGAAGGATTATGTGCGACGTCTTTCACCCACCCGCGCAGCCGTCGTGCCCGAAAATGGTCGGGCTGACAATATGAGAGGCAGAAATGGCCGTTCAGCGCTGGCTTTTGGGTGCGCTCAATCACTGAAGCTTCTAGAATTTTCCCGGAATTGTTTTTATAAAATAAAATGCTAGTTTTTGTTCTGACTGTTCTCGATTTTTCGCAAGCTTGTTGAATTTGTATATTTTTAAATAAAAAATGGTTGGGCATGGTCGTTATTTCCCCCATTTTGGCATTTCATGAGAACTCGAAATTTGTACAATAAGGCTTTATAAATTTCAAGCCTAAAAATATATTGTTCTACGGCTTTTACCAGGTTTTTGCAAATTTTCTCGAATAGCTATACAACTCGAAGTTTAACATGTATTCAAAAATCCTCTTGGTTCTTACCGTGCTCTGGACAAAATCATAAATTTGCCAGACTATTTTCCTCATACAAAACAACCAATGTTGCTTGGATCATCTTTTCTTTTTTTACTTCTGTCATACCCGACCTCTCCCACACCCACCCTCGTAGCGCAATGCCCGTCATCGTATTTTGCATCTAGCCCATCATCATTTTGCCCAATTCCTTTTTTGGGCCCGGAATGTCCTTCGGGTAAGGTGCTGCCCACCCTCGACGTGATAGTATGACTAAAATACCTTTTTCCAGGCAGGTTGATCAGCCAAATTCTCTTGCCCTCATTATTTTTCACCTGGTCGCTGGGCGCGGCGCCATTTCAACCTTTTACGGGCCCCGCGTGCTCGGGAAAAGCGTAATTTCCACCTGTTGCTAATTTCCAGTCCGTATCGTTGGGTTCAGATTTTTGAGGCAGTGTGGTTAGGAGCTCTCCTTGGTTGTTTGTTAGGAAAATAGGTAATCCAGGGATGGTTGTTGGTTGCGTGTCAAACATCAACCGTTTTTGGTGGGTTAGGCCATGCGGTAAAAGCAATAAGCCGTGGTGACTAAGTACCAGGGAGGTCGTCTCTTTTTTTAATTAGAAACGGGTACTGGGTTGGTACACGGAAGATAGGGAAGATGGTGAGAGGGGTACGGTAGAGGCGCTTGGGGGGTATCCTTGCTTCTTCCTTAGGTCTTGGGATTGGCCCTAGGGCTGCGACCCCGCCCACCCAAAACAGAGCCAAGGGGCTTAGGGAGAGGGCCCTTTTTATATGGACTACCACTACTTGAACCTTACGTTCATTTTAGTTGTGTATCAACTGTTTACTAACATTTTAAGATAAATTCGAAGGGGGGAAGCCGTAGTATTTTGGGGGTGAAGGGTGTGTCCGGTTGGTGGAGTAGCAGGGATTCCTTGGTGAAATCCTGCCTTGCGGGAGATGTTAATGTATATTGACTCATGGCCTATTCGAATCTAAATTTTAAAGGTTCTAGTGAGACAGGAATTATCATATTTTGTAAGATAGAATTTTGGCTGCCGATTGAAGATGCGCTTCATTTCGTTAATAATTGTCAAGACTCAAGTTTTTGATACTGCTGTATTACCCTTTTGGGAGCGATGGTTACAAATTTTAGAACAACACTTGTTTCCTAGCCATTAAACGTTTGGTTCTTCTACTCTGCATCCATTCTAGAAACTAGTGCTTTCATTTTTAATTATGTTTTTATAAATAAGAATCGCTGGATGTCAATTTTTTCACCGTATTGATACGTTTTGGAGCATAGGTAGGGGTTTTTGGTATTCTTACCTTTCCTACCTTTTAGCGAGAATTCATTCAGTGCGCCTTATCATTTCTGCAAAACACTAATTCTTAATTTTGTTTGCTTGCTAGCAAGCGTAGCTTAATTCTGCATTCCTAGCATGATTGGCGAACCTGTCGACGGTTTGGAAGCCGGCTGTTCGTCGAGACATCCATTGGAGGAACGATCTCCCGAACGGACACCTCCCATTAACAGGTAAGCCGTATAATGCCCTACACCCTTCTTGCCCCCCACGCCCCTCCCCTACCAATAACAACCCCCCCCCCTCTTCTAGCACCATAATATACCCTGCATCTACCCCTAGCTAGAATCCAGTCTGATATTCCTTTTTCATTCCGGCTACCACTAAAACACCATAAAACAATTCTGGCTTCCGATTCATGGCTTTTCTTAGGCCGCAACCCCCGCCAGCTTTCAAATAACTTCGACCAGATTTTACACAATGCCAGAATCAATTACCTACTCTTTGCGCTCAAGACCATCTAGGAAAGACCCTTACTTATCTATTCCGGGAGGAAGGAGCTGTTATACAAGAACCATCGATTCATCCCCGCACTCATTAAGTAAGTCGGCTGGGTTTTAATTTCTGGCGATTTCTTGTTTCTAAAAACTTTGCACTGTTTTCCAAACAAAGTGGTTTTACATTGGGGCGGAATGGGTAGGAGAGAGTATGTTACTCACATATTCACGAATATTCACTCGCTCCATCACGGAGCTTTGTCGGCCGGGTGGCAGGCCGACGACAGGGGTAGGGAGTAGTCGGGTAGTGTCTGGTGGAAGATGGAGAGGGGTGTATTAAGAATTTCTGAAATTTTGTTGTATCATAGGCATTTTACTTGCGTTGAAAGAAATTGAATGCCGCTTTTTGGAAGCTGGCATGCAAAATGATCAAAGGCTGTGCTTACTGGAAATCCGTTTTTGCTTAATTTATAAATTGCGTCTGTCACAGAAAGTACACTACCAGCTGTCCTGAGCATTAGCAAATTTCCAAAGATGAGTTTTTAGCAGACTATAACATGCAAGAAACGCTAAATAAATTTAAAAATACGTTCACGTTTTTCTCGCTTTTTGAAAAGCTTTCTAATGCGGTAAAAACGCATCCAAAACCTAACTTTTTCGTTGAACGTTATGGGGGCACCTCCTTGGGATACGCTGTAAATTTTAGGTACAGTTAGTTTCCCAAATTCGGAGCTCCAATAACCTTAACATCTGTGAATTACTCATCTGAATCACATGCGGTGATTTCAACACCCAGTTCCCACTACCTCTTCCAAGCAAACCGAAGCCCCACCGTTCTTGTGATTCGAAAATTCGCAGGTGGAGGGGGGATCCCCCGAGAAGCCTGACAATCGGATTTGGGCGAAATCCTGACACGCGGAAGTGTGGGTGTGTTGCTCAGTGCTTCCATCATGGGCTGACCCCCAAAAAATGTTTGATTTGGGGCGGGGTGAATCTCGAACTTTCGCACATCAGTGGTGTATCACCGGCTAACTATTGTGTTTCTTGGAATTTGCCCCGCTGGGCCGTATTTGTCGGCTTGTGCTGCTAGAGCGCGTGGATATTTGTGTGCGCATCTTGGATTACCTAAATAACGTTAGGTAAACAGCCGGGGAGGATGGCGTCGATGCTGACTTTTATGGGCGCGCAAACCGCCCGACGACCACCGTTCTATAACGGGAAGTTTCCAGAAATTCCATAAATATCGTGTGTTGTGTAGAATTTTCTGGAGGTTTTTGGAGTTGTGACTCTTTCGGTCGGGTACTGTATTTTACAATACAAAAACAAGGCTGTTATTTTTTCGGTCTATTTAAAGCGGTATTATAATAAAAGCCGGTCTTCTAGCTTATCCATCAAACTAAATTTGGAATTCGCGGGTATATTTTGCTGGTTTTGAAAGGTTCCATAAGTTTCCGACATTTTAAATTGTCTAAACTTTGCATAAAGTCAGCAAAGGCATAAATAAAACTATTATGCAAATTTTTAACACCCAAATTTTACCATTCACAATTTTTACGGCTTTTAAGGGTTTTCAACGGACCCCTAAATATTATAGGCGCATAGATTAGAGGAAATACGGTATATGAATCATAAATTCCTACACTGGTGGTTTATGTAGATTGACGTTTTTCAAAATGCGACTTCGCGACTAATCGTGGGATCAGCGGAATTACTTGACCCCAAAATCCTACAGATTGTCTCGAATTTTGGGCCCGCATTGGCGGGGGCGTTCTGCGTGGCAAGCCTAGAGCTCCGTCAAAGGGCTATACCGGAAAAGGCGTAACACCGATGACAAAATCGGGAGGGGGTATTCCGAGAGGAAAGTGATGTCACTTAATTACAAAAACAAAACTGAGAAGCGGCAAGTGTGACTATGTAGGGCGGGTTGTCTGTCTACATTTTTGGCTAGTTTTTATTCGGTAGCCGGCTATGATCGAGAGAAGATTTGTACACTTCAAAGGCTGGGGTAAGTCTCTAGTAGTGTAATCCAACTGGGATTCTGGATTAGCTGAGGGTGGCGGGTATAATCTGGCCTTTTTGGTTTATTGCGTTTTTGCTCGGGTTTTTTAGAGATATTTCGGTTCTTATTCGTCGCTTGACCTTTTTCATTTTTCATGTTTCATTAACGGGTTTTTTTCAACTCTATGCGTTCTTTAAATTAATTGACATCCTCTCGAATTCTGTTTTTATGCTTAGAAGTAAGGTATCTAGGAGAGTTAAGGGTTCATTACTGCGCGTTTTTCGATAATATGAAAGATACGTTTCCTGCGTTATTTTATCGTTTTTAGACAGATAAAAATTGTCTCATTTGCATATCAAACTTCATGCCGATTATTGATGACATTTTGGAGTCGGGCTCCTTTTATTCTCTATCGTAAATGGATTTAATGAGGAAAATTACAATAACTATTAAAAATTGCCCGGCTATCCAAGGTTCTCGCAGAGGGCTTTTCAACCCTAGCACTTTTTGAATTTTTTTCCTCAAACCCAACCCAAGCCTTAGCATGTCAGGTGCCCCCAAGGGATGAGCTAAATATTTACCTACATCTACGCATGAGCGGGTGCTAATGGCCCAACCAAACCCAACACTCCCCCCTACACCTGTGACAGCCGGTTGCCGGCTTTGATCCCAACCATTCGAAGGGCCCTGGGGCATACCAAATATCCCAATACAGAAGTGCCAACCCAACAAATGTTTGTCTTTAGGTGCCGAGGGTCGCCCCGAATGCATTTGCGCTCGATGCGACCAACCAATCATGGAGCAATTCCTCAATAAAGTACTCGACAGGTGGGAGATGGCGTGGGTTTTGATGAAATCTTTTTTATGGGCCATCACAATGGCCGTTTCCTTGGGTTTGTCATGCCATTTGAAAGGTTGGCGTGGGAATGGCTTGTTATAATGGCCAAACTACGAAATGCTATTTTTTTCAGTTCCTTCCACAGCGACTGTTTAAAATGTTCGTGCTGTGAAGAGAAACTGGTGACAAAATGCTATATGAAGAACAATTCACTGTTTTGTCGAAATCACTTTTTTAAGTAAGTGCTTGACGTTCGAAGTTAACGTTTTCTTAGAAAATTCGGGACCAAATGCGGTATGTGCAAAGAAGGGATATCCCCCGATTGCATCGTCCGAAAAGCAAACGAACATGTATATCATATGGAGTGTTTTCAGTAAGTTATTGATTTTATTTTGGCATGCTATTTTGCATGTAGATGTACGATATGCAAGCGTGATATGGAGACCGGCGATGAATTCTACCTGATCCCAATCGAAGGGAAAATTGTTTGCAAAGCCGACTATGAAGTGGCAAAGAATAAAAGTGGGTTAATTTTTAAACTAGAGCTTGTATTCTTGGCATGAACTCAATTCACAAACGCGAATATTTTATTCACTTAGGGTTTTTATTCAAATCTGAAAATTTTGCATAAAAAATATAACAATGTAGGTTTTACTTTCTGCGGCCTCTGCGCTGAAAAAAATGCTTTTCGGTCGGGAGTATATGAAAAACTCTGGATTTGAATAACCGATAATAACCAGAACCTTCTTAAAATTGATTGGATTTACATGGGACCAGCTCTAACATTTCCTTTGGCCTGTAATTATCGCCGTATCCACAGCCACCACCTGCCTTTCCGACCCCGAACCTTTACTACCAATTTGCATAAATTATGATCAATACCCGCGTTACGATCCCCGGATATGTGTTCCCTCCATCCATCGGGGGCACCACGCATTTCTCCACACCATCCTTGTTTTTCGTGCGTTCCCAGGGGCCCAAGTACAATTTGGGGCGGCCGGTGCAGTCGGCGAAAATTTTTTTATTTCCCCCGATAAACCGCCATCCCTCCTGGCGGTTTGTCTGTCTATCCGCGTTCGTGTGGGCAAATTTGGGTTCTAACGCGATATCGTTAACTTTGTAGTCTAAAAAACGGTGTTTAGCCCCGGATTTGGAGATGGAGAATACGAATAAAAGGCCGAGGACGACGATATCGGCAAAGAGTTTGGAGACGTTGAAGCAGGCATATCATGTAAGATTTTTTTTGTTTTTCTTAAATCTGAAAACGGTTTACAGACCAGTTCAAAACCTGCACGTCATGTTCGAGAACAACTTGCGGCTGAAACTGGGTTGGACATGAGGGTTGTTCAGGTTGGATTTTTAAGCTATAAAACGGTTTATGCCTCTTTGTAGGTTTGGTTCCAAAATCGACGTGCTAAAGAAAAACGCCTGAAAAAAGATGCTGGAAGGTCTTGGACAGGAGGTTCGGCCAAAACTTAACATACATTTCCGAAAATTTAGGAAACCAAAAAACTGACTCCGATAGTAACTCACCGACAGAAAGTATTAATGGACAAAGCCCCGGATACGGTAATTCGATCCAGAAACTGCACAGTTTTTTTCAGAGAGACCTAAGAAATTCTAGAAAACAATTATCGTCTTGTTCAGGCTACATCGAAACGCCCAACGACCACGATAACCGAGTAGATAGTGTCTACGCGGATTATCAGCTCCTGAGCCAAGGCCCACCTGGCAGTACAATTCAAGCCACTTCCCCCATGTGTAAGTCTAAATTCAAAAATGTTTATTTTGTTTGTGAAGGGTCAAAAACCTCCGCTATAGCTTCAGATATGGAAAATTTCCATCCGATTCGAAGCCTCAACGTCGCAGATCTAGGATTGCCGCCATCCGGAGCATTGCTTGGGTTGGATCAGGTAAGCCTTAACAAAAGACTTGCAGGTATGGAAATCATGGAATCAAACACCATGTAAATTCAATTTATTATTCTGATATAATTTGCCAATATTATAATTTTCAGATTCAAGCAGGCCCAACCCCGCTTTCCGCTGAGCACCTCCTGTTTCCAATGACATCATCATTGGACCCGGGCGCTATGGCTGGACTGGCACATCATTTTATGCAGTAAAATCAAATCTAATAATGATATATTACCATTATGATCTCGTTTTCTTCTTTGATCTCTCAAACACCGATCTCATCAAGCATCTAGTCCAAATGAGCGATTTCTGGTCAAAAAATTCCCCCACACCCTTTCGTATTGCTCTTCGATCTCGTTTTCCTCAATTTGAATGCCAAATATAATTACCTGGTTGGATATTTTGATAATAAAGCTATAGTGCTGGTTGGAATGCAACAAAACTTTGTGTTGCCGAAATTACACGCAAAAACATGCTAATAAACGATCCGCCATTTTATACTTATCGGGATGTTTCTCAAATTGATTCTGTTCTCTCTTTGAGATTCCTTGAATTCGACTTTGGCTTTTTATGATCGTTTCAAATTGGCGCTAATGCTAAAATTTTGCTTACGCGACCAAAACGATGTATCGACAAGACGTGAACCGAGTGAGAGTAGCCCTGGATTGTGAGAGAGCAGACGCTCGAAAAGGCCTGGACAGCTGTGGTGGCCTCCCATGTTGCATCCGAACTTTCTTCAACGCACTCACGTGCCATTTCCACTCTTATTTATTTTGAAATGCCTAAGGTATACATATTATTTATATAATCACGATAAAGCCCGAAAAATTTTTGTTAGGGGCTAACTAGGAAGGCTAAACTCCCGTTCCATTAAAAACCAAACTAGTCGAACACGAAACGCTCCTAGCAGAAAACCTTTATGACATGATTTTTACCAAGAAACCTGGCTTTCCGAGATTGTGCCCGATAATCTACTTACTGGACCCGTAGGAGCATATAAGGTTTTTCGCGCCGATAGGCAAGATAGAACAGGAGGTGGCGTTTGCATTTTAGTTAGATCCCACATTCCTACAAAAATAATTCTTTCCACTTCTTCTTACGGAAGCGAAATCTAATTCTCGATATATTTCTAAATTTTCAACAACTCCGCTTTATCAACCTTTATAGGCCGCCGCAAGTTACGTTTGAGGACACTAAGTTGTTGCTGTCAAGTCTAGATGGTCATGCTGCCGCTGCCGAACATGTCTTATTGGTCGGCGATTTAAACTTTTCAATCTTTCCAGGCATCGTCCTGACGTTCGGCGACAAAAGGGCCTCCTTTGCACGAGTTTACCGTAGAATTAGGCTTAACGTTAGTCTCAAATTTTGCCACATACCCACAAACCGGAAAAATACTAGACGTGGCTATTTCGTCGCCCGGCCTTGTCACATCTTGTTCTCCCCCACGCGCCTTTCGCCAAATGCGATCATCTAAGCATGGTCATTAAAGCAGATTGCGTAGTGTCAAAAAGTAACTTTCAACCGTCCGGCCTAGACTTTACGAAAGCCGATTTTGAAAAACATAAATTGCGAAATCTACCACGCTGACTGGTCATTTTTGTCAAACCAGGCGCTAGGCCTGCAATCAAAGTACGACCAAATCATCCATAAACTAGGACAGATCTGTTCCAATTTTGTGCCCAAAAAAAGGTTTTAGAGTCCCTCTAGGATACCCGAACACATATCCCGCCTGGCAAACCGGAAAGAAACCTTTTGGAAACGCTTTACAAGAGGCGATTTCCTATCTTAACTCCAGGCCCAAAAAACCTCCCGCCTCGGCTCTGTAAACCCTACAGGCATGTTAGTAACCTCTGCCGAACAAATTCCTGAAATTTTAGCGCTAAATTTCTCAAAGGTCTACACAAACGCCGGTGTAGACCACTCCTCGACTAGATCCCTCTCTTTAGTTGCACCAAATTCTACTTTCCAGCCTTTCTGTTAACCCCGATCGATGTAGAAAATGCTTTCAAATTATTGGAGCCAAAACTGCACTGGACGCCTGAGAACCTGCCAGCCTTTTTCCTAAAAAACTGCTCTCAGACACTTTCCAAAATTCTATGCCACTTTTTCAACCTTTCGCTTCTTTCGGACAGATCCCCGACCAATGGAAAGTATCGCAAATCTTCCCATTGTTTAAATCAGGGGACGAAACCTCGCCCGGAAACTACCGCCCTGTTGCCCTGACCTCCTCCATTTGCAAACTAATGGAAGTAGCTTTAAAACGAAAATCGTGGCGCGTCTTGAGCTAAATAATTTCTTTTCGCCAGCCCAATTCGGCTTTAGAAAGTTTCATTCCACGACCACGCAGCTTTTGCAAATGTTTCACAAAATCTCTGAGAAAATCGACGCCGACGAGGACCCTACCACGATTTATTTTGATCTAGCCAAAGCTTTTGACAAAGTTTCCCACGCACTTTTAATCACTAAGCTTTCTCATATAGGTTTTCCGCAGATATTGGTTACTTGGATTGAAGCCTATTTGACAAATCGATCTTTCTATGTGAAAATAGGTGATCAAAAGTCGAACGCCCACCCACAACCCTCAGGAGTCCCTCAAGGTAGCGTATTAGGCCCACTACTTTTCTCATCTATATAAACGATCTCCTTCCCTTCTAACGAACAGTAGCCTAATTTTTGCTGATGACTTAAAAATTTACGCCGGCGTGCCACGCAACCCCACCCTGGCTGATCCGGCTTTTAGAGCCTCCAGGCAGATATAAATGCGGTCAAAAGCTGGTGTGTTGAAAATGAAATGTCGCTTTCAACCTCCAAAACTTTTATCCTAACGAACATTCCCCAGCCTGTTTCCAAGATCTCTACGTAGACAATACCCGGATACCAAGGACAAATGTGATTAAGGACCTAGGATCACTTACAATCAGAAATTTAACTTTGAATCGCATATCGCCGCTATCCGATTAAAAGCCGCTCGTATATCCTTCCTTCTTATCAAAAGAATTCAAATTCCAAATGCGATCACGTACCGGCGTGCTTTCAGTACTTTAGTTAGGCCGATTTTGGAGTACGCTTCCCGAGATTTGGAACCCAACCAAAAAGCGAAACATCAATGAACTTGAAAGTGTCCAACGTAAATTTACTTTCTTGCCTATAAGAAATTGTTCCCAAATGAGCCTATGCCCTGTTACCCAGATCGACTAAAATTCTTTTCCCTTCCCACTCTAGCGCACCGTAGAACAGAAGCGGATTTAGTTACATTTTATAAGTCTTTTTGTAGAAACTTTTCCCTTCAAATTTTTGGAATGCACAAATCGTCCGGATAAGGAATTCCCATGCTTTTCAAGTGAAGAGAATCCATAGTAAGCAAGGTTTCCCCGTTCTTCTTCTCGCGTAGAGTTGCGAAAAACCTGGAATAAGCTCCCGCCTAGGGTCTTCAAAGAAGGTCAATTGGGAAATGCAAAGAGCTTTCGTGTAACTTTAGAAAAAATGGACCTGTCCCAACTTCTGTGATCTTTTCTTCCCTCCCTGTTTGTTTCCGCATGTTATACAACCTCTGAACCAGTGGCACCACACATTGCCTACTCCCCACTCTTATTCAACTACTGAATAAAGTATATATATATATATATATATATATATATATATATATATATATATATATATATATATATATCTGAACTCGGCATGGAACTGGAGAAGTCAGATACACCATTCGACGCGCCAAACCAGAGCGTATAACCGTAAAAAGCTATGAGGATTTTAAATCGACAAAATGGTGAAAAACAGTATCTTTGAGACCCTGTATCATCCCGCGGAATGGAATTTAGCCTAAACTGATTAGTGCTCCTTGTTCAACAAAGAAAGCTCTTTAAAATGAGCTATGTTACATACGGCTGCCAAAAATTTCCGTAAAAAAAATATTTTTGGAATGCGGCATAAGGGTAGGGTATGGCCAGCTTGCCGAAGACGTTTCGAGAATTTCACGTAGAGCCTATGTAAGATAGCCCATTCGAAAGAGAATTTTCTGCCGATCAAGATGTACTGTTCTATTTTTGGCAAATTACATTCTTCGAATTCGTACAGAGTCTTAAAAGGGCGGTTTTTGACGATTTTGCCAACTTTGATATAGAGAGCGTCCAATCCTGGTTTTGTTGCGCGAGGTTGTTTTATCATCGCTCGTGCTTTTTAGGGGTCACACAGTCAAGAAAAACTTATTCCTGAATTTGGAAATGCAAAAAGTAGGAACTGGTCAAAAAGCAAAAAAGGCGCGCCGCGCGTCGAATGGTGTATCTGACTTCTCAAAGTTCGATGCCGAGTTCAGATACCTCCCTATTAAGATATTTTCTTTGGAAAACTAACGAGGTCTAGGCGCAAATCTTGGGATGGGAGTCCGGGGAGATTTAATTTTAATTACCGCAGCTATCCATGGTATTGGCAATATATGGATTTCACGCGTTGCATCCCTCGTAACAAGATCGATACATCTGCCGGAAGCGCTTATTGCCGAATGCAGTATATAGTTTGCCCTGGCACGCTCCGGGTCTATCACTAATAGTGCTTTTGAATGATAACGTTGGGATCGATCCACATCTGCGCAAGTCGTTACCAACATCCGGCACAGAATAGTTTATTTTTATTTTTTTTCAACTGCCTGCCACATCGTATAAACCGGGTTTAGTAATCTTTTGCTTTTTCCCCACGGAGCAAATTTATTTTTGTTCCTCTTGTTTAAATGAATGACCTTGTTCTATAAAACCTTATTTAGAAGCGAAAACATTTGAAATCAACCCATTTGCTTCCCGGGACATCGTTGCAGAAGATGTCTAATGGGCCTTCGTCCTCAGGATCCAGTAGGCCCCGTAAGTCTCGCGTCTCATCAGTTAAATATCTTTCTAAACTCTAAATCCCACTTTTTTTATTCAGCTCCTCGTGGAATACTAAAACGAAATTACCCGGGCAGCCCAGCAAGCGGAGCAACCCCAAAACCTGATCGCAGTCTTGCGACCGATAGATGCCAGGTAAATACGGCCCCAGAGCCTCAACCATTTCACCATTGTTTAGCTCTGTCCAAGACCATTCTTTCCGCATATTGAATTACGACGCCGAGTGATACATCATCCATTAACCCATCACTTTTGTGAGCTGCCAGTCCGTTGCTCGGGTCCGTTTTTGCAATCGCATAGGATTCAGCAATCACTGCGAACGTTCAGTTTGAAATTTTTACCTTTCAGCCTGCAATGAACGTGGAGCAGGGGGTGGACCTATTCGAGACCATATTCAACGGGCGCATCAGGGCAGAGCGAAGGTGATTGACGCGAGGTAAACATTGCTCGTGCCCATAATACCCTACAGGGATCGTGCGTATTGGATGCGACTTCGTACTTGTGCCGTTGAATGCTTTCCCGAACACGAGAGAAGAATCAATGACGAGATTTACCGATTTTTGTCGAGCAAAGCGCTGTTGCTGTATGAGGATACGTGGTTGAAGATTCAACCAGGAAACGGGCGGATCGAGTCGCCAGCCAGGACCCCAGGATATGATAGTTCCGGAAATTCTCCCTTTTCGGTACCTTTATAGAGATTTTCAATTATTTTTAGCCAATCATCGGTTCTCCGGCCGTCCGGGATGAGCCAGTTCCGGTCGTTCAAAAAAGGTGAGCCAACAAATGTTAATAAGATAATTGGCTCTTTAGCTACCGCAGACGCTCAGACGGAAATGTCTTGGGAAGACATAGCACAACTAGAAAAGGTGATAACATTTGCTTAAAACTGTCAACCTTACTTAGAGCCAAACCTCACTGAAGTTGCGATTGGATGACTCTGAAACAAAAAGGAAAAAGTATCAAGCTAGACTTGTAAGTGAATGCAGAAAATTTGTGTGACTAGCGCTTAGACGGAAGCTGTGAAGGAAAGGAATGAAGCAAAAGAGCAGCTCACAAAAGCTACAAAGGAGAATGCCAGGCTGAAGGCAAAAACGGTATGGATGGAAAGATTAAAAAAATAACCACCATACGATATTCAGGAGGAACAAGAGAAATACATTGACGAACAAGCTGAAAAATTACGTCAAGCGAAAGGAGCGGTACCTAAACATCAAATAGAATTAATCGAGTTTGCAGGGTATCGTGAAGGAAGAACCTGGAATAGTCGCGGTCCGGCCGGTTATTATTAAAGAAGAGCCGGTTGAAGACCCCAGGATAGCGAAATATCAAGCTGAAATTGCCACACTAAAGCAGGATCGATCTCACGTAAGATTTAACCGTTTCTGTAAGAAATAACTAAATAAATTGCAGCTAAATAAAATCGTCTCCGACCAAGCGATACAAATCCATAAATTGGAAAAACTGGTGCCCGTCATCCAAATTGATGATTGATTTATTTCATAGAAGTTAGGATTGCATTTTACACCGATCTTTGTAAATAATTCTTGCCATCATGTATGCACTGAAATCGAGTTCAATTTTTTCTATATGTCTTCAGATCTCCGTGATGTGCAACCTTTCTGCATAAATCAGTATTAAAAACCAATTTTGCTTTAAAGATTCCATGTTCCTACCTCTTTTTCTATCAACAACATTACATTGACCTCATCCCAGTTTACTTTTTTGCTGAATAAAAATTTGTCCGTTGCGCATAGTTTTTGCTAAAAATACACGCACATTTGTAAAAACAGGAGGAATATACGCTGAAGACAATGTCGGGGCTCTAATGTATGCAAACAAAAACAATATCGTGGAAACGGGGGACGTGACCCGCCCGCACGGGGTGACGGTTACAAAGCCATTAGTCGCAGCTTCCACGTTTTTCTTCACATTGATCAGAAAATTTCTCCATATGAACAGAACTTATCAGGCTTCAACTTCTAATGTAGTCTTAATGCCTACTCATGAGGAAAACGAACCTCCGTCCTTAGTTTTAGACCCTACGTTGCATTTTTTTTTTGATACCAGGCAAAAGCTGACCATTGTCACCGTCTGCCCTTTCAAAAAACATTCCTGTTGACGAAGAACGGCTTTTGGTTGGGTTTTCCTAGATGTAGCAAGATCGAGGCGAAGATAGGGCGGATTGGGGACCTCCGCTTCATTCAACCGTCTGCATACTGGTTGGCAGAAAAGCCTCCAATTTCTCATTTTTTCAAATATTTTTTTACTAAAATCGAAGCTTTCTTCATTACCTAGGCTTCTAATACTTCATACAGATTTTTAAGTTACTTTTTCGGTGGTGACTTGTCCTATTTTTATGGTTTGGTTTCCACTTCTGCATTTTTTGGCTAGGATCTATTGGTTGGGGAAAGCAAGCATGATGGCGTGGATCATTAAGGATTCAGCGACGCCGGTAGCACCATACCAGTCGGATCGTAATTTTCTTGCCAAATCGCAATCGATCGATTTTCAGGTCCATTTCCTTTCGAACCCTAACAGGGCTTAGACAGTTCGAACCCTAAGGCGGCTTGTTTTTGGGTGAATTTCCTGGCGGAGCCGACTTAACGATAGGATCTTTCTAGCATTGATGCTAGAAATCATGATTTTTTTTCCTGAAGATTTTACTTTGTCTGCGCAGCCATTCATCGGCTGTTTAGAATTTTAGCTAAGCATAGGCAGTGTGGCATCGACCGCTAAGTTAAAAGAGAACTGTTATTATTTAGATAATTTAATAAAATAATTTATAATTATGGTATATCGTCTCCTTTGCAAAATCCAAACTAATTCTTTCAAAATTCAAACTACTTAATCAGTCAGTAAATTTCTGAGCCTTTAAAAGGAATGTATGCGACAGCACAATCGAAAAAGCAACTTTTTTTTACTCGACAGCATATCCTAATAATTAGCAGCACAATCTTTGTTTTTCTCGAATTTTTGCGGGGGCGAAAGCAGCCTATTTTAGGTTTTTGCGTTTTAAGTGTACATTAACAGCATGAAAATAACGCAATGTCAAAATCGTAACCCAAACGCGAAATCTGCCTAAAATTTCTGCACAAGATAGGTTATTCCCATCCCGCAACTTAATTATGACCTAACCCCCCCCCCTTTTCAATTAATCTCGGTTACATTGGCGAGAGCCGGATTTCGTCAAATGTTTTTACTTGTTTCCGACCTCCTCCGCCACACGGGGCCCAGGGGGGGGGAAAAAATTTTTGGAACAAAAAAAAAAACAAAAAAAGGGGAAAATTTAAAAAAAAGAGGAAAAAAAAAAAAAAAACAAAAAAAAGAAAAAAATAAGAAAAAAAAACCATTAGGGTCCCCAAATAAAGATTTGTCGCTTTTCGGGGGATTGGGGGCGGGGCGCCCCTTCCCCCCCCCCCCGCCACACCCCCCCCACCCCCACAGTTTTTTTGGGCTAGGCTTCATTGGCTTCATTCTTGAGGATCAGGGCAAGGATCATTAAACATTCAGCGACGCCGGTAACGCAATGCGAGACGGCCGGAAATCTTCTGGCTAGGGCCCACACATCGATCGCATTCCGGGTCACTTTGCCTCGATTCCTAAGAATCCTCGTCTTTTACTAAATTATTCAAATTAAGAATTTAAAACTGCACGTGGAACTTTTTGGAGTTTCCCTTGAGCTTTAAATTTTTTCTGCCTTTGCATTGACAGATTTGAATGGCGTCTTAGACGAAAAACGTTTTTCTACATCGACATAGTTAGTGCCTTCTCGGACATCCATGTATTTGCGCCTCTACGGAAAGGAACGCTGTTCGGCTCACGCGAGAGAACGCAACATGTGGGCTGCAAAAAAAAGCGAGGGCGGCTGCCCAGGCCATTCGTCTCTCGCTCTCGGCAAACGGACGGCACTGCCAAAATCCAGGAAAAAACGCCAGAGAGTACTCAATTCTAAACGCCCGATAAGATCCAAAATTATTGAATGCTGGCGACGAATCCACAGTCTAAAAGCTGTGCACAGTTCTGGATACTATTTATTCCGTGATTTCCTACAGGTTGATCTTTCTATAACCCTTTAATTCAACGGAAAATAGTAAAGAAAATAATAATAAAAATATTGGATCGATAAAAATGGGGACTTGGATAGAATAAGCAAATTCGACGAACCCGAACCCATGTAATCTGCTATTTTTGCCTCACCGCAACGATTTTTTGCATTTTCCGCTTCTTTCCGAAACACATTTGCGATTTACAATTACTCATTTACCCTTTTTGCTCCATTCCATCTTGCTGACAGATCGATTGACGTGGTCTGACGCAGACTAAGCATTCCTCAAAGGGGGGCCACGGCTGGAGGGAAAATGCTTTCGCTTCCTATTCTGTCTGGTAAGTTGTATTGGAAGAGTCATTGGACGATGATTTAAAACTGCAGATAAGCTCAAATTCGGCCCCTACATCTATATATTTTCAGAAGATTTTTCCTACGGAGCCCTTTGCTACGATGAGGCACAACAACATTTGCAATTTGTACAAGCTGATACCATGAACAAAACGGTTTTTGGGACCAAGGAGGACTGTCAAATCAACCACATCATACCGTTGCACTTGGAAATTAAGGTCGGATGCAACCTGTTCAGGGTATGTTTGCATACCAAGGGCTTTAGCAGCTGGGTTTACAGTTCCAGTTTACGTGTGAACCTAAGGAGATTGAGCTGAAGATGAAAAAACTTGCGGCTGAGAAGAATTTCCAAATTACGCCAACTACCGATTGGAGCACAAGAGCAGCTACACCAGGTAAAGTGGAGAATTTTTCAGGCCCCATTAACGATTTTTGTAGGCTCGACCTGCAACCCATGGGACATTGATGAGCAGGACTTGGTACCGCTTCAGGCCTACGTAGAAGCAATTATTCCACCAACTCAAGAAAAAACAGGTCTGCATGGCAAAATGTTGTGCGAAAATTCATGTTGTTTTTTGAACATCCCAATATATGGACTTTTTAGCAACGACCGAAGTCACGACCCCTATTCAAGTCGAGTCACCTACGAAAAACCGTGACGCTGCGGAAGAACTAAAATGCATTGTAGGCCTTCCCTGGCTTATTTTCGAAATTCATTTAGACGTGTAAAATGGGCGGCTTCCAAATGGATGACCTACTTGGCTACGCCCTAGTGAAGCATTGCATGCAACATTCAACTTGGAAGACCTTTCGATGTTCTAGTAAGTATTCATATCAATTTTGCTTTACTGCTTGTTTGTTTTTCTTTCCATTTATCGTATTTCTTCCATAATAAGGTTTTTTCTCTTCCCTAGTTTTTCAACGAAAATATTAAATTTTATTAAAGCTTGCTTTATATTTTTTGATGACCGAAAGTTAAAAAAGTTTTGGGTAAAACCGAACGCGTTTTGCTTATCCACATCGCTCCTTGCGAGCTGAATTCGTTTAAATTCTTCATAATGTTGGCAAAAACAGAAAAGAACAAGCTAGTGTATTTTAAAAACCTTAAAAGCGCATTTGGTTTTAGTTTGTAGCCATGTTGAGAGGTACCGTTCCCACCTGAATCGCCATCTGAAATCCGAACATGCGGGCCGAGCCCACCTGATCGACGATAGGTCAGTACGATTTTGCGGTTTTGAGGGGTCTAGCTATGCAAATTGCCGTTTTTTTTAGCTGCCGCCAGTCCTACCAGGCTCTCCGGGACGCATCAGTTTACAACTTCCCAACACACCGTAGCCTGATTGAGCGCGTTATTCGGAAGAAAATTATGCGCCTCGAGCACGAAAAAGCCAATTCCGTGACGGTTGATGGGCAGACGACAATCGGGGAAGATCCGTCTAAAACGCCGCCATACACCCCAGAAGCCCTGACGAGCATGGCAACAATAAGCGCAAGAAGCTTCAACCACCCATTGAAAACCTTGTGCCAGATGAAACGGTATTCTCTTTAATTTTTGACTAATTTTTGCATAGGTTTCATCAACTGATGAGACAGACAACAACTCTGATCGTCAGAAGATCATCGAACTCGAAAATGTGATCCAAAGCCTGAACCTAGAAGTGGTATTACTGCCTTTTTTACCTACCCAAACCTTCAGATCCAACTCGAAGCAGAACGCGCTGCTCGCCAACCACAAGAGGGGGTAAGTTTTACTGGATGCTGGTTGAAATTCTTTTAGCCAATTGTTAAAGACGAACCCGAAGATAACCCGAACGCGATCCTGAAACGCGAAATTCAGGAATTGAAGCAGAAGGACAAGGAGGTAATTTGCTCTTAGAGATGCTAATCGATTTCTTCAGCAAAGTGCTTTAATCGCCGATCTCCTGATAAAAGTTGAGCGCTACAAAAAGCTTTTCCCCTGCTACACTATTGACTAATTCACCTTATCTACGGCAACATTTCCAAGCGGTCTCTGCAAACGTATTTAAAAGTTGTGATTATGGTTGTGTAGTTTCTTAGAGAAAGGAGTAGCTATTGATATTTTATTGTCTAAAAGACTTGGTATATTTGGGGTGCCTTAAAAATGGCATTTCACTGTTTGTGGCTTCGAGCCGTTTAACTACCACCTTAGTGCATGGTTTTTTTGTGAAAAATTGAATGGTATAGCGCTAATTGTCGGTATGAGCTTTTCCAGTAGATTTTCAGCCAATTTTACTATGGCTAATATGAGCTTCTAAGCAGCTTTATAGGCTTCATAAATGGCGTATAACGTTTTTAATAGCTTGCAAACATTGTCTTCAAACTCTGATGTGCAATGTGGTTTATTTCTTCTCACGCTAATCTCCCGGTTAATTATCAATATCGTGTCTTATTTCCAGTGCCTCGCAATTATTTATCAATTGTTTAATAAATTTGCCAAGATATCGAAATCTTTCTGTGTCCTTAAAATTACTTTCTAAATGTCTTAGCACCTCTTGAGTCAGCGCTAAAAACACAGTCTTATGCGTTACGAATGGCTTTTTCAAACCTAGGTACCGAATATTTTGTCTTCGCCGCGGTGGCGCCTGAGTGTTCCCGCAGCAACAACTAAAAACATTGCAAAGGTGCTCAGCTTTGTCTTGGCCAGTCAGTCCCACTCCTCGTCTCAAATATGTTAATATTTCGCTTAGTTTCCCTAGCTCAATTCTTGGGTTTTATTTCGTGTCTGCAGGTAAGTTTTGGTGTGCTACCGGTCGATGCAATTGTTTTAGTTGGATTTACTGCAGCCGCAGGGGATTTCTGGTAGGAATATTGAAAGCGTGATCCGGCTGACGGATGTGGCAGGGAATAAGATACCGATTTTAGCCGGAGATCGTAACGCTAGCATCGTAATATGGTATTATAACTCTCACCCGCTGTCTAGCCACTTCCAGGGGCGACGCAAACGAAAATTACCTATTTGGCTCGAAATTCTTGGGAAATCTTGGTCCAGCGTCATTTGCATCATTTGACCATCAAGTCCATCGACTAGAATATGGCTATTTCCATCTGGCAAAACGGGCTAACCCTCGGTAATTCAGGCTTTTTAAACTTGACGTCAGGAAATTTAGCTTTATCCCTCTTCCGCTCGGACACCAATGCCAGGGTGAATGGTTGCAGTACGGTAGCGTACGGGCTAGCTTCACCTATTACAATGGCGAGTTCAGGTAACTCTCCAAGCAATTCCATGAACAAAATCTTAGATTTGGGTCCTACTGCCTCGATACCGGGGCCGTGACGTTCTTGGAGAACGGTGGGGCAGCCACAATCGGCTCGATCTCACAAGCCAATCCGGCCCCAAACGGTTTCAGCCCGTTTTATCAAATTTGTGTTGCGCGTGGGGTAGGTCGTCAATGCTAATTTATACCAAAAAGATATTCTAGGGTTCGGCCCCAATGCCGGGACCAATTTTCGACTGGCCAAATGCGAATAACGGAAATGGGTATGCTCCACCACAACAAGGAAAACCACAACACCAGCGGGCCCCACAAGAACCCGTTTATCCACTGGGAACTGGCTCAAAGGTACTTTATTAAAGTATGCAATACGTTGTGACGAATTTAGCAACAAGCTCCAGGCAGCGTTTATAATTTCGGATGCGGGGAGAATTTTTTCACAGCTGTCGATTGTATCATGAACAATGGTAAAGGGAATAAAGGAAAACCAGAATACCAGCCAGTAGATAATGGTTGGAAAGCGGTAGGTTAATTATTTAATCTTTAAAAATGGTTTAGCCGGTTCCGTCTGAATATGTGACCCCACCAATCCCTACTCCCGGATTTCCGACCCTAATTCCAACCACTAACCGGGTATTCGCGACTTTAGTATCTCTATATTATTCCCTTTTTCAGCCTGAATACACACCGCCAGTTCCAGGGACCGACTTCCCCTATTACAATACCTATCGTAAGCAAAAATGTATTAAAAAATGTTTGTATTTTAGCCGAGACCAACTCGGAACCGAATTATGCTGTTATTCCACCAAGTAGGCAAAACTTGTGCAAGATTCTAAAGCAGTTTTAGTTGACAGCACAACTGTTACCTCATCGGCAACTGGGTCAACGAAAATACGAATTATATTCCTATTCGCAGCCATGCTTTTCGTGTTTTAATACCTTCTCTCATTGCTGTCCCTACCACTCCGTCGTCCCTCACTGCCCCCTTTCATTTGACTTATCTCGCCTCGTTTGTTTAATAATTTTATGGCCGATCAACATTCCCTTATCTAATGCCAGATTTACCGTTTGGCCTTCATTTGGAATAAATACAAACGCTCGATCTGTTTCCCGTGAGTTACAATCTAATCGGATAATAACGACATTGTAGGGAATTGCAGAAAGAGGCTGTCATGGTTCCAAATGACCTCTTCTGCCTTTATCTTCAAGAGCTGGTTCTCTCTCTCCGTCTCTCGCTCTCGCTATCTCTCTCTCTCCTCCCTTTCTGCCCCACCGCCAGAAGATCCAAAATTCGTTTCCCCATGGAGCCATTGAGGAGCAGGAGGAGGAGCTGGATGGGCAGACCAACAGAGACCCCCAGGAATAGATTTACGTTATTTAGGGGATGCGGGCGATTCCATTGAATGTCTATCCCTGTTTGTCGATTTATTTTTTGGCTTTTTGTTTTGCTGGTATATAACTCGGTAAAAATTTAAAGAATCTTGCAAAACCTTTATTCCGATACTCTTCTAAAGATCTGAACTTACTTGTGCCGTTTACATTTTGTCGTTGTTTTTCGTTTCTTGTTTTTGACGTTATTGAAAGTCGTTACGCTTCACAAAACCCTCCGCTCCGGCCCTCAAAATAAACCTAATAAGGCAGTTCTTTGAAATTGCAACAATTTGGATATTTTGCACACCTGACACGCAAGTACAAACTTTATTAAACTATCGTAGTAACCACCCTATTTACTCCCATTTTACGATTCTCATGGGTGTTTTATGATCCGTCTACGATGGCCACTCTCCATCCGAAATGGTGTGTTGGCTAGGGTCGGCCCGTGCTAGCGGCCCTCCCTTTGATCCTTCCTCTCCCTTTCTATCTCTTTCTTTCAGTCGCCTTTCCGTTTCTTTCCTCTTTCCTTGCTACCCCTCTAACCCCGCTACTCTTTACGATCCGACAATGTTTTTGGGAGGAGTGGGGGGAAGGGGGGAATCGAGCTGTGATGTCCATTCATCCATTGGCCATAAAGTGACTCAAGCGGTCAGTCATCCCCCGGGGTGTCCGGGGGTGTTCTTTAGTGAAAGTTTGCGTTGTGTCAAAATAACGTGTTTTGGGGTTTTACGATTTTATGTGGGTTAGAAGGTTCCCGGGGGAGAGATTATGGGACTATGTGGAAAAAGGAAAAATTCAGGCCTAGCACTTCGAGCTGAGTTTATTTAAAGCTCAAGTTTTCCAAGATCTTTATTGACCCCTAATACATCCAGCAAAAATCTAAAATTCTTTAATTTTTATGAATTGTATAAATCGATTTTCCAGACCTTCAAAATCGGTAAAACTGGCTAGCTTTAGAGACAATCCCCGAAAAATATGGCGCGCCAAACTTTTTTAGCAAGAACATGTATTGATTTTTAGCAATTCCATTTAATAAACAAAATTAGCTTCTTACCATGTAAAAAAGTAATAACCGTTTTGCCTGACCCAAAATTTTAAAATGCGAATCTCTTCCGACGCACTCCACCCCAAAAATGTGGCGCTCCAAAACTTTTTTAGCAACCTTGGCGGGTGAAAAATGGCTTCCCATTTTCCGCCCCGCCACCAGCGTGTTCCACAAGCCGCTCCCTCACTTTTGAACGGCAACACCACTTGCAAAAACGCCCAAATGTGACCCTTAATTAAAATCGACCCTGAAAAGCGATTTATTTTGCATTGCCCGTCCTCTTCGAGGCGATCCCCTGGCCGGCCATATGCAAATGATTTATTCTCGGCGCCGGGCCATCCCATGAGAGATCCCCCCGACCCATTCAAATACGCATTTTCGCCCGGCGTACTATCGCTTTTTGGGATGTTATTGGTTTTTCTTCGTGGTTTTAGCGTGCGTTTCCATGTTTTCTAAAGCCATCACTATAAACGAAAAACCTGCCGTTTTCAGATGTGAGGATGTTTTTACGTCGACAAAACCTTCTTCTATGCACAGTGTTATTTATACGATTAGATGCTGTCAATATTTCCTATGTGGCTCGAGAGCTTACATCGATCTCATTGATAACCGCTGATCTCAATGACGGGTCCATTCGCAAAGAAACTTTGCTTGCTAGCGGGTTCACGGAAAGTGACGAAGTACATTTAGCTGTTAATGACAATACGGTAATTAAAATATGCTTTTTTTATAAATAAATTTTAGGGAACCGTTTACTATTCGCTTGATGGGAAAATTAATTATGCCTTTCCGAATGCGAAGGAAACCACAAATGTCCTGGGAATTTTTTCAATATTTATGGATGAGAAAATATCTTCTTTAGCTGTAGATAGTACTAATGAATTGGTAAAAAAGTCAGGATTTTGATATTTTTATTGTCTTTAGTTGTACGTTGGAATAGCCAATGAAGTTGTTGATACACCGTCAAGGATCGAAGTGTGCCCTTCGTTGACCCGGGAAAATCTCAAGGAATGCGCCATTTTGCTCAACGAAATCTACGGGAAACCACATTATATGGTGCTCGATACGGCAAATGGGTTGGTCATTTAATATAAAGAGGAATCTCGAGAATTTAGATATATGTATTGGATCAACAGTGAAATGAATCGAATCGAACGAGCATTGTTGAATGGCAAAAATTACGAGCCGGAGCTCTTTCAGGTTTGACTCTGAGCCTATTATATTTAAAAAAAATTTTGGGGTCCAAATGCTATTCAATACAGTGCAACCGAACCCTTGACCTGCTTAACTTTGCATAAGCAATCTGATGCGCTTTTTGTAGTGCGAGCTGTCCAAGACCAATCTGAGGTAATTACATTCTTAGTTATGAAAAAAATTATGCAATTCAGATATGGAAATGTGAATTAAATGGCCTATATGATTGCAAACCAATCGCTTTAAAAGAACCGATCCTGCATTTTGTGGTTCTAAATGTAAGTGGGTCCTTGAATACGTGAGTTTTATGTTTTTCAGGATTTGCTTCTTTGGTCAGCACTAAATAGCGGCCTGAGATATTGTCAAATCAACGATTGCCAACTCGAATCCCGTATTCTAAAATCTACTTCTCCAGAAACGAGTCCATTGGAGTTATTTCTACCATATACTACCGGCCACCATACAAGTAATTTTTTTATTGTTATTTGTCTATCAAAAAATCATTCAGACCCAGTCTCTAAATGTCAACAAAATAATGGCGGATGCTCCCATTATTGCTTTCCACTAAAAGGAAACCATAGTTGCGCTTGCGGGAAGAGTGTAAAACTCTTGCTCGATCAAAAAAGTTGCGACCCGCGTGGCCCAGATGAGGCAACAACTCTGATTTCCAATAATTATTATATTGTTGATTCTAGGTCTTGTTAATTGCTGCCGTCAGCGGTTTATTTATGCTGCCCACAGATACCAATTTCACGGTGCCAATTTTGTTGCAACCGGTAATTAATGGGATTAGCCATATCCTTTTTATTTACAGAGTAACGATACAACAATTGCCAGGGATCTTGACTGGAATCCACGAACTCGACAGGTGAGCAAAATCAAGGTATTTGCATTGGATCAAAAAACTACCGAACTATGTCTCAGCTGCACCTTACCCGGTGTAATCGAATTTTCGCCAACTCGGTTTTTTAGGAAATTTCTAGTAAAAAATCGGCGTATCAGTCTGGATGCAAAAATTAAAGTAATCAGATGGATGCTAATTACTAAATCATTAATCCAAAAATATTGATCTCGAATCCAGATTACTGTTGGTATATCCCCCACATACGTAGCATAAGCGCGGCTTCCCTAAAAGATGATTTTTCTGTTAGTGAAATTCTGCTTAATACCTGCTGCATGGTCATCAGAATGCTAACGCAAAAGCTGGCAATTGTCTGTAGAGTCAAATTCTTCTCGGCTGCTTTTATGGAAGGATGCTTGAGCAATTTGCTGATAGTAATTAGACTCATAGCGCTACATGCAATAGTAATGGATAAGCACACGATACACGAGACAAAATGGGCAATCTAAAACAGGAATTTAAAAAACCCCGATAAATTGTTACCGTGGAATATGGGGCCGGATAGCCCATTGCTGCATAATTTCCATTTCCGATTTCTAAGACCACAAATGGGGCTGGAATGCGGTAGGAAACACAGATAAACCCTGCGATCCAAGCTATCCAATATGAAGCCCGGCCAAACTTTGTCCATAACTAAAACAATTAAATTCATTTGGTAATTATTACCCTTTCATGAAACTTTTCGCTCGTGCACATCGTAGTAAATCTATTCAGTGACGAGAGCAAGAGCGTAAAATAATAAACATAAAAAGTCCAGCCGGAACTGAGATAGGCCACCCTGTAGTATACTTCGTATACCTAAGCCAGTGACTGCTAGTTTATTATTGTATATACCCCTTGTGGCCCAGGTTGCGTCAATGTTAAATGTCGCAGCGCAATATTTGCATAAACTGAAGCCACATCCGCGACTTCTATTATCATTTTCATAAACTGAAACTTCTTTTCACTCACCACCCGCAATGAAAATCTTAAAAAAAGCGCTGGAAAATGTGCGATGTTTGCTTTTCCAGATACATGATAATATATAAGTTGATAGTAGCGAGAACAATATTTCGACGACCAATAATAAACAATTGAATGCATCGTACATGACTGTTTCCTAAAATCGCTCGATAATTTTATAGTAAGACAAAGCCGAAGAGGACAATTTTCGACGATAAAATACCCATGATCCACGATGGTCTTATTTTCACATCAAAAAATATAATTTTGCCTTTTTTACATTTCAGACTTATGGAAAAGGTTGTTAATTGTACATAAAAGAACGGAAAACTCGAAAAAGCAATTGAAAACCATCTATGAACTTTGGAATGTAGGTCCTAAGGAGGAAACATAGTAAAACTAGATGCGATTGACAATAAGTTTAGTTATACTGGATCGATGCAAGCGAGATGGTAGTGAGAAGTGCTTATTTAAACTATACAAACGTCAAGGTATGTAAATATATTGATAACCGAAGACAGCTACCTAGAATCGATTAATGCTTCATCATTCGGACCAGCCTAAATCGCTACGGGTTGATGCTATCACCGGGAATATCTATCTTTTAGACGTTTCAAAACGTTCTCTAGCGGTGAGCGATATTTTTTGGCTTTAGAATAGTTTAGGTATATGATGAAAAAGGGCGTTCAAAAACCCTGGCAAGGAATTTGGATTCGCCAGCCGGTCTTGCGTTGGACACAGAGAATGGGGATGCCTTTTTCACGGCCATTTATAATGGCTCGCGGCGCATTTTCAAGGCAAACCCGTTGCGTGTTGGATTGGAAATTTTGGTTTGTACCTTATTGCTCTTGGAATAGCTCCTTTTTCACCCGAAATATTGTCTCCCGTTTCAGAGCCAATGTTCCTATGCCGTTACCTCGTTGGAGCTCGAAAAAAATACGCAGAAACTCTTTTGGGCTGACGACAATGGGATCAAAGTGGTGTTGAAATGTTATAATATTGGTTTTATTTAGAGCATAAATGCCCAAGGAAAAATTAGGGACGAAGCCGCTTATTCGGGACACGGCACCATCAATTACATCGCCAAATTAAACGATCGGTTTTACTTTGGAGAAACCTTAAATAGATACATATACAATACTAAGCCTGGACAAAATGGTAAATATTTAGTATTAATCTTTGAGTTTTTTTAGAAGCTGACGTCAAATTGATAATCCACGGAATTTTCGGGCATGCCGGAATGAGAGCCGTTTCCTTACATCGAACATTTACAACATCTTCTCGTTGTTCGAATGAAAATGGTGGCTGTGAACATTTTTGCGTATCCAGGTGTTGCGTATCTAGCTATTGACCCTTTCGACCAAATTTAGGCCACAAAATAAATTTGAATGTGCCTGCGCAGACTTTCACGAGCTTCAGACCGATGGGAAAAGTTGCAAGCCAGCAAATTCAAACTTATTGATAGGTCAATCAGGTAATATTGACGATTTATTGAAACCACGACTGCATTCAAGGCAAAATCTTCTTAATCGAGAGCTCCGGAAAATTACGAGAACTTTCCACGCCGCCCTGCTCTTCCAACCTGATGGCATTTACCGTAAATCAGGTGAAAATCAACCTATTTGTTAGGAAAATTTTTAGTCGAACAAGTATCTAATACTCGCACACAGCGATGGCAAAATTGGCGAAATCTGGGGTATATTTTTAAATGGGACTGATCCACGGCAGATCTACACGCACGAATCATTAGCGGATGTGAATTCGATTGCGGTTGATGAAAGGACAAGGAATATTTATTGGTATTTGGTTATATATTGGCCCAACCTTTTTTAGGTCTACTCCCTCTGGCATTGTGATGATTGATTTGAACGGCCGTCACCAGAAATGGCTATTTTGGAAGAAGCAATCTGTCATTAAGATTGAAATTGATTCGTTGACCTCGAATTTATTCACCCTTGGCACACAACCAAATGCCATATTTGTGGGTTTCTTGTGAATTTTGGAAGGCAAAACTTTAGAAAATGAACATGGATGGCTCTAATTCGCAAATTATAAAACGTTTCACGAATCCGGTTTCGAAAATGACGATCTCTAGCAGTGAAAAGAAATTTTTCTGGGTAGACGAGGCTGCAAATGATACGAAAGTAATGGTTATGCAAATGGATGGTAAGCGCTTACTGCAATTAAAAAAATTTTTAGGAAAAAATGAAAAAGTGATGGAGCGCGCACGAAATCGTATCTCTCAACTTGTGGTTCTGAATAATGAAGTTAATTGGGTTGATGAAAAGGTAAGCGCTATAGGTCGTTTGAAATTTCTTTAGGTGCCCCTGCTGAGGAAGCCGTACTCAAACAAAATTGTTAAACTCGAAATTGACGTCAAGAAAGTTGTTGGCTTGGGACAGATTGAACACACGGGTCTGGTTTAAGATTCCAACGCTGATCCCCTACATTTAGCTGAAATCTTTGAGAGCAAAGTCTGTGACTCAACTTTGTGCCCAGAGCTGTGCGTGCAAAACCAGGGTGAATCGATTTGCATGTGCTCGGATCACCATTACATGATTGAAAATGAATGCAAAGGTAAATCAGGGTATCGCAGTTTTATCGTTTTTAGCACTCGATTCCTTCATCTACATATTAACAAAAAAGGGAATTTACAGAAAGCTGCCGGAAGGAGACAAGGTAACTTTAAAAAAGTGTAAAATAAAGCACTAGGATCCTCTTCTAAAAACAACCATCTTCACGCATGTCCCATCCGAATTAATCTATGCACAGCTGGGCTCAAAGCTGTATTTTATTGGACCAGGCCCTACTGCAAATTTGTTATATTTTGGAACCGATTTTAGTCAACTATCGGTATTGGTTTCTTAGTAAATTTTTGTACGTGATTTTTAGGAAGTTACCGTAGCCCTGCCAAACCTGAATTGCACTAAAATCAGCTCACTGGCCTTCGATGACGTTGGGAGTCAGTTATTTATCGCATGCAGTGATGTTAAAGACTATAGTTATGTTCACGTATATAAAGTTGAGGTCAGGTTCTTTTTCCTAATTTTTACTATGACTTTTAGGTCCATGACAGTAATGTAGAGCTTTCTTTTATTGGTACAGTGCTGTCATCGGCAGAGCGTAGGCAACGACAACTGAATTTTATCTCGAGTATGGCCTTATTTCCGCAGAACTCGTAGGGTTTTATGCAAAATGTAAAAATAAGAATTTAGGTATCTCTACGTGGTCAGCATCGGCACGTATCAAAAACCAGCCATTTATCAATGTGGTTTTGATGGAAAGAACTGTCGGGTCTGGCTAAAAGACCGACTCTCCGAAAATACAAAAATCTTTGCCGACCCTAGTAATTTAAGACTTTTCTACACAACACCATCTGGTGTTTGGTCAAGGTAATAGTCAAAAAAATTCAAATATTGTTTTACAGAGACTTTATTGTTCCTGACATTGGAGTGAAACACCATTACATCAGACAGCACGCCGATTCGGTTCTAAATGTCGCTCCGATATCTGCGGATACTGTGTTGGTATCGGAAGACGGGTTATTAGTGCTTAACAATAAGGATAACTTACGAGAACTGAGCACAATGGAAAATATCAATGGATTACTGGTTTGTAGAAAGATACTAGAAATATTTTTCTAGTATTTACCCCCGCTAACAAAACGGGAGAACAGGAAGACGTGCGCTAAATCGGAGTGTCATTTCATTTGTGCAATGGATCGAAATTCAAAAGGGTTTCGCTGTTTGTGTCCCATTGATTTTATTCCTGATCGACATAGGTAATTTTTTTAGCCAAAACCCATTGACAGCTTTAAAATCCAGGCCAAATAGCTGTGTCCCAGTTACGAGATGCCTTCCCTGGCAATTTCTATGTGATGATGGGAGGAATTGCGTTCATAAGGCTGCTAGATGTGACTATAGCCGGGATTGCCGGTGCGTTTTCAAACTATGACATCGTATAGTTAATGCTACAGTGACAACAGCGACGAAGAATCCGCTATTTGCGAGTTGGTAGGTGTGGATCGATGGCCATGTGATGATGGACGAGGCAATATTATGAGAACTGCAGTAAGTAAGACAGATTCTGCGCATAATGTTTAGTATTGCGACGGAAGAGAGGATTGTGCAGATGGATCTGATGAACGGTATTTTAATAGATGTTTTATTATAATAATTTCAGCTTCTGCCGGTGCGCTGAAGACGAAATGGATTGTCTTGCTTGGCCAAAGTCAAAAGATATGCAATGCATTCATAATAGCCGGGTCTGCGATGGGTATTCTGATTGCGAAAATGGACTCGATGAGAATCCGATGGTAATGAAAACTAATCATAGTAAAATTTAATTCAGTTATGCTCAAAAGAAGGCCATAAGCCAAAAACCAGCGGGCCAGAATTCATGTATCTGGCTCTGCTTTTATTCATTTGCATCCCGATTTTTGGAATATTATGTTGGTGTTGCATGCGACAAAAAACACCAATAATGTCGAGGTTCGAGGAATCACCGTGGGGATTAACTTTTTCATACTATTTGTGCTTCAGATATGCAAATCCAGGGGCGCAGACGATATTCCTCAGCCAATCAGAACGAACACCAAGAAATGTGGATATATCGATGGGTACTTATAGTATCGCTGATAGTGGATCGACCTATGCTCCACTTCCACCGCCCGATCCAAATCCACACGCATCTTTTATGTAAGTTTACAAAAATACTAGCTTTTTGGCAACCCAAAAATATATCGAAACCAAAAACAAAAACTCCATAGGCCGATACACTCCCTTTAAGTATTGGAACTTTATTTACCTCCGCTTTCAGCACTTTAATAATTTCTTAGGACTGTCTGCCGCCCACCATCGCATCATGGTCAATATATTACTTTCTATGCGCCCCCGCCAAGTGCGGCTAGGTATTTTTAGAACGAACGGTCTGTGATTCTTTAGCTTCTCGACCTATGGTGTTGTCAAGCCGGTCGTTTTCCGGTCTTCTTCAAGATCGAATAAGTTGAAGCACGGGAATCATAGCCGCGATTGTGACTCCTTTGAGGTAGAGATTTATTTGTATAAGGCACACGTTTTAGGAATGTTATTTTCCCAATAGTGAGCCGATAGTAGTGGATTATCCAACCGAAATTCCTATTGATGCTGAAAGTTCTAGCGATAGTCAACGGGTATCAATTTTTAGGTATGTTTATCTAAACATTAAAAATTCTCGTATTTAGTCGAACGGAAAACCGTACCAAAAGCCGAACTAAACACCGAAAAGACCGGCCATTACTTGCACCTTCAAATAGCCTCTTTGAACCTGCCGAAGACGCCGGCGAAACTAGTCAGGACTCAGATCATTAATTTAATGCGGTATGATTCATATACGGGTATTACTTGATAAATCGCAATTTTTCACCCTTGTCCATATCATCAAACATTTATTATGGCTTGCAAAAACATCGAAAACGATTTTTAGATAAGACACCAACGTGCAAAGTATAATGAGGAAATGATTGTAGCAAAAGGGGAAAATGTAATAATTTGACTAATATATGGCATAGAAGAAGGTGATGACTGCTGGCGGGTTGAAGGACGTGTGAGCAGTGAGTGGTACTGTATTTTCAGTGTTTTTTTTTGTTAAACTTTCTCTTTTTGGCACGGGTACAATTTGTAATTCGACTAAAAAGTTGGCAGTTTTGCTTGGAAGGGTAAAAAGAGAGATTGGGCGGAGTGATGAGGGCACATCGCTGAGGAACGGTAAGTAGAAAGAATGTGTTGGCAAATAGTCAAAAACACAAAAAAAAATGCAATGTAAAATCGGCTGCACAGATAAATCAGCACAACCCAGAACTGGATTCAATATCAAAAATCTGAAATGTGGAGGCAAGAGACGCGAAGTTTTCGGGGAATCAAAAATTCAAAACCCGAAAACCCGACCATGGTTATGGCAATTTCGAGAGATTAAGATTTTGATGTGACAAGCATTGACTAGCTGGATAAGCTCATGAGATTCATTTTTTGATTTGGATGACTAGAAAGGTGAATAAATTGAAAATTGAAAACATAGAGAATGTTTAATCACCGGAGACACGCTTGAGGAGCACTCGATTCATTAGGGAAGATCACCTGGCGAGAGGGGAGGATGGGGGATGGCGATTTTTCAGTAATCTAGGAAGGTATGATAAGGTATATTTTAGGTGATACCTAGTCAATAGCAGATTGTGCATGTTCGGCGTCCCAGAATTGCTGTGGGGAACGGTCGACATTGTTGAAATCTTGCCATAAAGCGAGGATTAGCTCGCTGCTCATCAATTCGCCGGCATGTGTACTAAATTAGAAGTTCAAAGGATTTTTGGCACTAAAAATATTTCCCATGGACGAAAACGTCGCAAAAAATGGCTTAGTTTTAATCGAGTATTGTCTTGAGACGTAAATATAGCAACGTGATTTACAATTTTTCTTATATCGTGACTAAGATTTTCCATGAAAGTTACAATATACATTGCAAGCAGATAATTGACATACCTAATCATACGCAGCATAAACACTCCATCCTTCCTCAAGAAGTTGTTCGTAAACTTCCTCAGCGTTACGTCATCAGCTACTTAAGAGGTGTGTTAGACTTTACGCAATCCCATTGCATAACGCCACTCATTCCCTCCTCAAACCGGTCCTCCCAAAAAAGCCGAGTGACAACAGAAATCTATATTAATTCGTAAAACATTACCAGCAAGCACCGTAGCGGCGGCCAGCCGCGTCAGAAAATAATGCTCTCTTCGTGCAGTCTTATTCAAGAAAATGATAAAATGTGCAGCCGCTGTTTGGTCATAAAGCGACAAAAAATAGAAATTATATGTATGGATTAATTGAGCGAAAAGAGGTCAAGCTTTGGTTAATGTTTGCTTTCTTTCGTACGTGAAATCCGGATTACGATATTCGAATTAATGAGAATAAAGCCGGCCCCATGAACGCTTACCACGAGGGAGGCTCATCATGTAGTCTACAAATGGGGCATTTTATAGGAAACAACTTCTTTAGAAGTCTCCAAGGGGAAATACCAAAGTTTGGAAAATGTTGTGAAACGCCACCCACCCGGTTTGGCTGGATGATCGGCGAGGACACGAAGATATTTCCTAATGAAAGACATTCCCTAAAAATATATGATATTATTAAATTTAATGTGTATCATACTTGGCTAGGGATAAACATAATCAACATCCAATACACGGTGTTCGAGACGGTGATGATGCCAACGGTGTCAGGAACCAGAACCTGCAAAAATATAGCCTGTGAATTTTAAGCTAAAAATTACCATAAAAGAGGAAGAATTTCTCAGCTGAACATGTTGATCATCAACACGCATTGGACTTGTATGTCGATGGATATTACCCAACACTCGGTAGCCTAAAAATCTAGGTTTTCAAAGTACAAAAACATACTTCAAAGTCACATAGTGTTACTCGAGGGGAACATTCCTGTCTGCTCCCATTCCACTTCGTGCATTAAATCCTGAAATTACTTACTTTATGCTTATACTTCAATAGTATCGGAAGATTAAATCACTCTTACCGTCAATAAACTAAATCCATAAGCCAAATCGTTGGCGCCTAACAAGTGGTTGAGGAGGAAGAATTGGAGAAGAACATTTGCCGAGTAGAGGACCTAAAATTTGATTAGTTTTCATTTTCCTGGTGTCTTAATCTATACCTTGATTCCAATATAGAGCATTGTGACGTAACAGCCACAATGTCGACCACATTTGGGCACCAAGTTGTATCGAGGGAAGCATGTTCGAGAGCTGGGAGGTGATCGTTCGATTTAAAGTCAACTAAAAATGCTAGGCGTATTTGTGAAGAAATGGGGTATATATTTTCTATAAATTCTAGGAAATACTCTTACCAGTAGTATCTTGACATAACCGCAAATCCTCCATGTGTCAGGCCATCGTGTAAACAGTTCTACACTCTTCACTTCCTGGTCCATCAACCTGGCGTCACAAGCCATCTGGACAAGCCCTTGCAGGTTGATCCCTAGAAAGCCCTCACAACGATTATCCTTCAAAAAAATGGTATATTTAACAGTAATTTCTATAACCAACCAGAGTGCCAGTACAGCAACCCTCGCCACAAAATGCATGGCACATAGAATAATAGCGCCTCGATGGCCAGGATAAAGGGCACCCATTGGTAGTAGCCAATTTGTCGATTTCTTCGCGAGTAGATTTCACGTGGAATGTCCTCCTGGAGTTTTGAATATCTATTGAAAGCCTTCAAACCAGCACCTGCATTAACACCCAATACGTATTTTGGACCCAGCAATAGTTTTCGGTGTACTGCTCCATGGCGTCGGTGAAAGTGGCCGGTACCCAACATTGGATAGGGAACCTGGAATCAAATGGATTAAAGTAACACAATTGTTTTAAACGGGATACGATCGATGAAATACTTTTAATGCAAGCAATTCCTTGATTTACTTACCGACATACCTGCTTTGCCGAGACCAACAAGGCGAACGAGGCAACTGAAAACTTACTGTTAATACCTTAACCATCATTTTTGTTCAAAATTCCTGAATCGATACCCACTTTAACTCAAAAACCTTCCACTTCTCTAGCTAGCTCTCCAAACCGATCCGATAAAAAGTTGCAGCTACCGAGAAATTGAATAAGAAGCCCCCCCCTAGGTGGGTAGAGGTGGATTAGTACCGAGATGGGCCTATTCGAAACCTCTTCCCCTGTTAAGATTTATCTTCAAATTCACTTATCCAAAAGACGCGTCCATGGTTGGGTTTTTCGGGAAAGTTGGGGGGTCATGGTAGCGTTTTTTGGAGCGATACAGGGTTTTCGAAAGCTTCCAAACCTAACTAAACTGGAGTAAAAACATACGAATCGTGGCAGTGTAATATATAGTTGAGTTGTCGACAAAATCATCGTCGAGTCGGGGGATAGAGGGCTCGGAAGGCCGAGGCCAAATAATACAAAATCATCGCCGGGCCGAACTTCTTTCTTGTGACCGTGACCTCCACCTAAAAAGGCATTTTTAAATTATATACTACCGCAATAATAAGTATTTGTTGTTTATCGAATTCTTCAGCTTTTTTGGGTTTTATTCAAAGAAAGCCGCCGGAAAGGACATTTCCGTATTCCAGCCGCTCAGCCCGACCGATAAGCATAGGGCCAATTTTGAATAACCGATTGTTTTGTGCATGTTCTGCGCGGAAAGGGGAGGCAAAGTTGTTTTTGATGGCTTTGTAAATGCAAATATGCTTTGCATTTTAATGTAGTTATTCAAATCGCATACCGGCTCCGTGGCCGGGGCTCCGACGTGGTGCGCGTCGATGCGGAGCTGATCGTGAACCTTCGAGGAGTCTTTGAGCCTGCAAAAATTGTTTTTAAAATGATAGGATGGATTGGGGGAGATTGGGCTTTTTGGTTATTACCCTCACACACAGGCCTGTTGGCGGGTTTCTGGGCTAATCTCGGTTATAGCTGGGCCAGATCCAAATTTTCCCGATAAAAGGGGTGGGTATAAGTGGGGTTCTAGCTAGTTAATAGAAACCGACTTTATAGCGAGAAAGGGAACTAAAAATAACTAAAAACCAGATCCATAATCTGGCATTTGGTCTTGTACCCGCTCCAGCAGATTATGGTATAATTACCAGCATCAGGGAGCTTAGTTCAAACGAAGTTTTTGGACCCTCTATTGTCATTGCTCTAAAATAGCCAATTCTACGTTTTGGTGGCTACCGAGGGCTACCGAAATATCAACACATCATATAGCCAAAATGTCACATTACAGATACCCTGCCCCCGATCTGGTTGGTTATGCTGATCCAAGAAGATGAGAACCACTTCCTACCGCCCGCTTAGCCCAAAAAGGCCATCACTCCTTACAGATTTGCTTCCTAGCGAACGCGAACATGCGCATTCACTCGAGCTGCATCCTCGGCCAATGAGGGACAGCCGTATCTTTCCGGTATTCGTCGAAATGACCTAGTGACTTCGATAGACCATCCGACGAATTCAGAATTGGATGTCCTAGCTAAGTGAAAGGAGTGTGGGGCCGGGTTGAAGTTGCTCCAATGCCTGGGCCTCCGGGGCCTGGGAGCACAACCTGGGAGAGGCGAGTACACTCCGGATAGGGGGCAGTGCCTTCGAGGTCTCGGGCGACCACCAGGGGCGCTGAGGAGACCCAGCTAGGGACCCAGGGAGGCCCACGCCCTCTAAGCCACCCCCTTTTGCGCTTCTTCCTCAACAACCAGTCCAGCCACACACGGCATCTATCGGTATGGGTAGGGAGGGGGGAGGTTGGTGGCCGGTTGGGGTATCGGGGGGAATCCGATTTGTCGCCCGAACGTGTATGCGCTAGGAGCCTAAGCAATTGCATTATCTCAACTGGGCCACATTGGGGTAGGGAGGTCTCTCCTCACTGGCATCGCCCTTGATCCGTCCCTTCTCAAGTGGAAATGGCGGGGGCACTAGGATGGGAGATGTGTCTGTGGGGCGTGGGGGGGCTTTTGGGAGTGATAAAATGGCTTTGGTGACGTAGGAGGGCTACCGCAATCCAGTCATCTGGAAATGTTCCTATCCGCCTCTTGCAATGCTTCAGTAAATGGGAGGCTTTTTCCTGAGTAAACAAAAATCTTGATTGTTTTAATAATATAAATTTATACATTTCTAGCTCTTTCTGGGTTTGGGTAGGAATTTAACAAAACTCTGTTGTCTGGATCGTGATAGGAATTTAATTTAAGGACAAATAACAAATTTCTGTTACTGTAACGGGCAAAAGGGAGGGATTTGAAAATGCTTGATGCTAGTGTTTCAGCAATAATTTGACGCTTTCCAACCTCTGGATAGATTTTATTGGGAATTTAATAAAAGGTAGGATCTTTCCACACCCTTGATGCCATCAACAAGACTGAAGTAGCAGCTGAAACCAAACCTTCCGACCTCTAACCATTAATTATATACCTTATCGTTTGTTTCCAGAACTACAGATCACCAAAAACAAAATCCAGCCGATCAATAAACCTATAGTACCTTGCCACGGCCATTACTCCTTCAATTAGTGGATGGCTGGGGAGCAGCAGCTAGTCGTTCCCCTCTACCACAGGCATCCTATCAGGCAATCGTCCAACTCCACACACATAGCGTCAATTATTCATTGCCTTCGGTTCCAATGGAAGTCCCCAAAATGGGGTGGCGGGGTGTTGCCTCGAGATGTGGGCCCATCCTAGTGCCCCAGCAGCACCTATGATTGACTGGGTTGGGGGTTGGGGGTTCTGCTTCAAGACCTGGGGGGCCCTAGGGCCAAAAGTTTTCCGCACCATGCACCCGCTTCCGATGCTGAGGAAATTTGGAAAAAGTTGCGATGAACTTTTGAGGTGGAAGGGTGGTTGGGGAAGTATCGGGGGGCTGCTAAAAATTTGCACAGGAGCGAATGGAAATCACCCCCACGGCCAGTAAACGGACCGAAACGACACCATCCTGAAAAAACCGTTCCAAAAACCAGTCAACATAGTAAAAAGAGTGATTTTCCTATGCAAATAACGCTTTCTTCCGCGAATCATTTCGGGATGGTGTGTTTTTTCTTTCTTTATAATTCACAATCCTGCATTGCTTTACCTATGTTATGCTAACTAAATCAACTTTCCAGCCCATTCACCCAATACTATATTCATCAGTGGTCACTGAATGGGCTGACCAAAAGTGCTCATTTCGAATCTCTCCACCGACTTCCGCCAACCCAACCGTGAAGCCATTTGCATAAGACGCCGTTCCCAGGTTCCCAAGCCTGCTGGGGTCGGCAAGGCGGTGCAAAATTGACGTCTAGCGACGTCGGTGTAATTTTGCAAGTTATTAGTTGTTAATTTGGAACCATCTACTATCTAATACCCTTGGGTATGAGAAAACCCCCAGTTGCAAATCTGCGGATTTCTGGGTGGGTCCTAATCGCCATTGTTCCGCCAGTTGGGTCTTGCAGTGCGGCGCGGTGCCATTTGCGAAGTGCTACTATGCGCGTGCATTTGCATTTGGAATGAGCATCGAGAAGCGGTAAGTTTGGGTAGGGGGGTGGTCTATGGAGGTTCTAGGTCGATTTTCAAAAGCTAAAAAGAGCAAGGAAATGTTTTGAAATAAATGAAAACTACTCCCGTTGTGGACTTACAGAGGGAAAATATATCAGGGACAGAACAAAGCTGCATTAAAGCTTACTATATTCGTTCACTTTACTATATATACAGATTTAATTCTGACCCTATTGTCATTAAATTGCACGCACACTTTTGAATAGCCCCTTCTTAAGCCAGCGAATCTTAGGTCATCATTGTCTTTTTGAAAAAGCTAGTGTGCATACCGGGGGTCTCAGGTTTGGGACAACCCCCATATGTGAGGCGATAGAGACAGTTAAGTCTGGCCCAGGTTGTTAGGCTATCGACACTGGAGAGACTTGGATCTTCCTATTGCTGCAATCTGTGGGCCATTTGCGAGCTAAGGGCTTTTGGGCTCCAGATTTTGCGCGTACTAACGCGACGTTAGGCGGTCTGGGTCTGACGTTCGGAATTTATACTAACTCTTTTAATAGTTATAAACTCCCGTGTGGACTGAAATGTAAATTTGGCGAATTTTTGCCAGGTATGAATTTAAATTGAAAAAAGCTAAGGTTACTATTTATTTAACTGCTGATTGAATAACGCCGGCTTTAAATAGGCTTTTACCTGACATAACTGCGAAAAATTGTACAAGTTTTGGCAAAAAAGTTAGGAGGGAACAAATACTTCACGCTACTAAAGTAAGACTTTGCATTCATACGACCATCACGGGAATTACTATAAATCGTAGTCTAATTGATCATACCATGGAAATGACATAAAATCGTTGTCCCCCTCAAAATCCGGAGCTTACACTGATAGTCTTGCTCAAATAATAAAATTCTGTTATTCTTGAATTATTGTTTGAAGAAACTGAGTTTTCTACTGGTTTGTCCCTCCCCATGAGACCCACTCTTTTGTCTGCACTTCCAAATGAAACCCCTCCCGACTAATCCTCATCTGCCCAATCTGCAGAATTCTGTGATTCACTACGAGAAGCCATAAGCTTGGTTAGTAGCCCAAACCTGATGTGGAGGGAAGGTTTTGTCGAGATGAGACTCTCTGTGATGGAGATCTCTAAAGATAGATGGATTTTTGATTTTGAGTGTTTAATTGTGTTGTTTTCCCCTAGTCCTACTCTTTTTGAAGTTTCCGTAATGCAGACCGGAATTTTCATTTAATCAGCAGAGTGTTTTTGGTCTTACTAGTGGTAAGAGGTTGAAAGGATTACCTAGTGAGGCCAGAAAAACACACTAATCCTTAGCTTCTTTTAAAAAGTGTTGAGGAAAGGAACTCGATAAAATGGGGTTTGGGCATCTTGCCGTTTACATTCATTAGTACTCAGTCGTCAGCTGCATTTTGTAAAACTGAAGATTTTAGGAAGAATTGTCTTCAGTTCCAATTTTATATCATGGATTTTCTGAAAGTTCTCTTTGAAGACAAGTAATTTGCACGATGTAGAGAGAGCAGGCGAGCAGCGGGAGAGACAAGAGATGGCAGGGAGGGAGAGATAGGGATGAGAAAGAGAGAGAGAAAGAGGAGAGAGAGAGAAGAGAGAGAGAACGCCAGATCTTATGGAGCTTCTTAAATGAATCGGTACTTCCCGACATTTCACCCCAACATAATTGTTAGCTACTACGGTTTTACGATCGATGTAAAAGGTGCTGATCGATTTTGCTACTAATTAAATTTCCCACCGATTTTCGGGATGACCTTGAAAACTCGATATGATGCTCAAACAATTTTCCAACAGCTAAAATCATCGAAGATTGTTAACCTTATTAAACGCCATTATCCCAAGTTTGTCTGCGCGACATATTTGGTAAGAGGACGACACTGAGTACGGATCGCGTGTGAGTAGCCGGGGTGGCGGTGGTTGGGAAGTCCGACGATGCGCGACTCAGCTGGCGGTTCATTCTCGGGCTCAGGTGCGCCTTGGGAGCATCCGCTACGCACATCCGTCTGTACTTGCCGATACGATTGATACGGATGATGGTCGATATGGCGGAGTGGTGGTTAGTGTGCTCGTTGGAAATCGGATCTGTAGGGAAGCGACTGATTCAGGCCTCCGAGGGAGACCTGACCGAGGCACATCCCCCCACCGAGGCCAATAATTTTGGTTCTGGGGTCAACCTAATGAAAAGAATAATGGGCCTAATAAAGAAATTCAGGTGATGAGTCACGGAAAAGAAATATGAAGTTTTTTTAATTCCCCCTAGTCTTGCTGGGCCGAATTTTGGTTTCACAGCTCATTAATCTTATTTTCTAGGGCATATAAATAACCCCAAATGTGCATCCCCATATGCTGAGTAGAAAATACATTTAATGTTTGCTATGTGAGTTTGAATAAATATGTATTCTAAGTCGAACGGTCAGAGGCCAAAATTGGTATTTGCATTTTTAACTATTTTATTAAATTAATTCAATTTTGATATAACTAATTTACGAAATACAGATTTTAAATGACAGATTCTCTGTCATTAACATAGTCCAAATAAAAAAGTGATTAATTTCATAGGACAAATGGTTATTTCATCGATGGCTAATTTTCCTAATAATTCCTAAAACTTTTCAAAAAAATGCATTAATATTCTGAAGGCTGAATCCATTTGAGATCTTTGGGCTCAAGAAAACACCATGCATCATCATCTGCGACGTAATATCTGCCAGGGTTTAGAAACAAGGGGTCCCTCCCCCTTACCCCTGACAGCGAGATCTGCGGAGTCGGAAGGCAGAAAAGATTGGAGAAGAAGTTTTGGAGAGACAGAGGCCTGAAGAGAGCTCTGACCCGGAAGTGAATTACTCGCCCTGGGCACAGTATTTGGGAAGCTTTTCATTGAGTGTGTAACAATATTGGAAGCAAGGGCCATTAGATGCAAAAGGACAGACACACTTTACCCACTGTAAGTACTGGCGCGATCCCCAGCTGAAACACTCATGAAAAAGGTTGCCATGTCATAGCACTTTAGATTTCCCCGGCTGATTATCAGGCACTAGAGAAGGAACTTTAACAGATTCATGAGGAAGGATTAGATGAGTTTTCCCTGAAGGTTTAGGAGCTGATACGTCCGCTGAAGGCGTACTGAATATGAAAACTGGTCGTATAAAGAGTGGATACTTACTTGCTATTTAGCTACAATTGGCTTAAAGTCCCGATTTCCCTCAGAGAAGTGCTGATTTCCTTTTTTTTTGGTGTTCTTTAATTGAGGCCGGAAACTAGCACTTTGAGGGCCATTTCTGATCTTGGAAGGTGAATTTGAAAAGGAATGAGTTTAATTTTTTGCAAAAATCCCCATAAAATTTCGAGCACATTTTTTTGGCAGCATTTTTCTCGTTTAAACTTTGTTTGCACATTAGGCCAATATGGATGACAACTTGAATAAGAGATACCAGTGAAAAGAAATAAAAATTTATACGGAGAAAATCTCAATTTTTTTTTGTTATAGTTTCTAGTTTGATTAACCTGTCATGTCTCTATAAGCC